TTGGGATGCTCTTAAGATTTCTATATAATGTGGATGCTCTTAAGATTTTTACTTCCCCATATTAGAGAATTCCAATCAAATCGTTCTACTTGTTATTTTTAGAGGCAATAGCTATGTGTTATGGCCAAGGCTCACGAAGAGTGCTCTATACAGTCGTGGCCTATGGGAGCACGTTGTTAACTCTCTCAAGTAGTGTCCACGGAGAAAGGCAAAGTTGTGAGAAAGGAAAAGTCAAAAAGACACCCAACAAAACAAGTTCTAGCAGAGCGAGTAGACTCCAAGTGATTTTTAATGTGTGAAAAAAAACATTATTGTCCCTTGTTGTCAGCCCCTTGTCACATACATTTAGTACTCCTTCTCTTGAATTTGAGTCCCAATTGGCTTAAGCTTGAGTCTTAGAGTCGTAGAAATTGTTCCATGTATTGGCATTGCATTCTATGTCATTTTAGGTATTGTATAAGCCACTAAGTGAGAGGAACCAAAATGGAATAGAAGAGGACATTTGAAAAAAACATAATTACCAAGACCAGACAACTCAGATTGTCGATGAAACCAGTTGATCAAGTTAACACAGAGCCAAATACCAATAAAAGCAAGTAGGATGGGTCTGGTTGATCCATGTGCAGTAGAAGACACCAGACCCTCAACTCAAATGAAGCCTGGATCGACAAAATAATCATCAGGTGGATTAAATACGCATTGAAGTGCAAGCTGGATCGATCTCTTAGTCGATAGGACTATCGATCAGCTAGACTACACTTCCCACACACTTGAGACACTCGACATCGATCACCTAGTCGATCCCCCTGGTCGATTGTAGCTATGAACATTTGTCCTAGGTTTGACCCGGTTTATTTAGGGTTGACCTGACACATTCTCATCTTATTATAAACTAGATTTTTGTCCTGCATTATTAGTATATTTAAAAAATCATATTTTTTATAATATAGAGGAGAATTAAAAAAAATCAAATGGCATATTTNCTATATAGATAAATATATTTTATTTTACAAAATATAATTTGTATGGCACTTAGATTGAATATAAGCGTTTTTAATATAAATTGAATACTTTTGAGATTATGGGTTCTCAAATTTATTTGAGCTCACCAAACCCAAAAACAATCTTGTGAGTATGTAAAAAATTTATCGTGAGTATCTTCTTAAATAAAAAATAAAAAATAATAAAAAGTGAAAATGATGATTTTTGAAATTCAACCATTAGTGTTTGATTTTTAAAATTGTACGTTTATAACAAAAGCCCAACTT